ACGGATGTGTTGATTGACGGACAGCACCGATATCTCTCTCTCATCTGCGGGGAAAAGAGGTGGTTGGTATCCGAGACTGACCTGGAATGGGGACTGTCCAGTGGATGCAGATCGGAGAGAGTTGTGGGCGTATTCTATCCACGGGAGGTATTGACTCCAATCCACGGGGTTATTGGAGGTGAGACAGCGGAGGGTGGATTCCAGCTGCTGGTTCATTCGTTCTGTCTGGCCGTTGGATTGAGGGTGGTAACCTGAAGTGAGGGATGGTTTGCAACCGAGAGCAGAACAGAAAGCCTTCCATACCTGTGAGATGAATTGTGGACCCCTGTCCATAGGATTTCCTGGGGAATGCCATGAAGCCGGAAAACATGTTTAATAAGTAGCTGGGCTGTCTGGAAGGCCATGGGAAGTTTCCTGAGGGGTACTAGATGGCAGGACTTCGAGAAACGATCAACAATGGTTAGAATGGTGGACATACCTCGAGAGACAGGGAGAGCGGTGACAAAATCAATGGCAATGTGGGACCAAGGACGCGAGGGAACAGGTAGTGGTTGAAGCAGGCCTGAAGGAGGTTGGTGTGAGGCTTTGTTGCGGGCACATGTGGGGCAAGCCAACACATACTCCTTTACGTCTTTGTGGAGTGTGGGCCACCAGAAGCGCCTGGAGATGAGAGCTACTGTTCTACTCACTCCTGGATGAGCGGTGAATTTGGCGGCATGCATCCACTGGATCAGACGGGACCTGACAGAAGATGGGACATATGTACGATTAGGCGGACCGGTACCTGGATCTGGTTCAGTGGCTAGGGCAGAGTTGATAAGATCCGTTATCTCCCAATTGACCACTCCAATGGTACATGAAGCTGGAAGGACAGGTTCAGGTGTCTCTGGATGATCGACGGAGTAGAGACGAGAGAGAGAATCGGGCTTCACGTTCTTGGATCCGGGTCTGTAGGAAATGATAAGGTTGAAACGTGAGAAGAAGATTGACCACCTGGATTGGCGAGGATTTGCCTGCTTGGTTGACTGGATGTAAGCCAGGTTCTTGTGGTCAGTCCACACAAGAACCGGATGCTCAGCTCCCTCCAGCCAATGTCTCCATTCTTCCAACGCCAACTTAATAGCCAGGAGCTCTCGGTCACCCACGTCATAGTTCTGTTCTGCGGAAGAGAGTCTGCGAGAGAAGAAAGCACATGGGTGTATCTTCTGATCAGAGTCGAGCCTCTGGGAGAGAACCGCTCCAACCCCAGAATCAGAAGCATCCACCTCTAGGATGAACTGTTTTGTTGGGTCAGGTTGTATCAGAACGGGAGCTCTAGAAAACAAGGATTTGAGTTTCTCAAAAGCAGCTTGAGCCTCGGGAGTCCACTGAAAAGTTCGTTTAATGGAAGTCAGAGAGGTTAATGGAAGGGCGGTTTGACTGTAGTTTCTGATGAATCGACGATAGAAGTTAGCGAACCCTAAAAACCTCTGTAGCTGTTTTCGGTTTTCAGGAACTGGCCAGTCTAAAACTGCTTTGATCTTGTCATCAGAAGGTTTTACCTGGCCGCCCTCGAGCACAAACCCCAAAAAGGTGACTGAAGGTTGATGGAATTCGCACTTCTCGGCTTTCACGAACAGTTTATTTTCCAGAAGTCTCTGTAAAACAAGACGGACATGTCTCTTGTGTTCCTGGAGGTCCTTGGAATAGATGAGAATGTCATCAATGTACACAAATACAAACACGTTGAGGAAATCTCTGAGAACATCATTAACCAAAGCCTGAAAGCAGGCAGGAGCGTTAGTTAAACCGAAGGGCATCACCAGGTATTCGAATTGACCCAAGGGTGTCTTAAAGGCAGTTTTCCATTCATCGCCCTCTCGTATCCTGAGGAGATGATAGGTGTTTCTTAAATCCAGCTTGGAAAACACTGTAGCACCCTGTACAGGTTCAAAAGCAGAGGCGAGAAGAGGCAGTGGGTATTTGTTTTTAACTGTGATCTGATTTAAACCTCGATAATCAATACAAGGTCTCAGGGAACCATCCTTCTTGCCCACGAAGAAGAAACCGTCGCCCAATGGAGAGGATGAAGGGCGAATTATTCCAGCAGCTAGTGATTCGTTGATGTATTTTTCCATTGTTTCTCTTTCGGGCTTGGAAATGTTATACAATCTACTGCTAGGAAGGGGTGCACCAGGTAAAAGTTCAATGGTGCAATCATATGGTCTGTGTGGAGGTAGGGACGTCGCACTGACCTTACTGAAGACAGGGGCTAAGTCATGGTACTCAGGGGGAACTGAAGAAAGGTCGGGAGCGTCCATCTCCCCCCCACCACTAGGAGGCCCCAACATAGGGGCAGCAGAACGAAGGCAGGTTTCGTGGCACATGGTGGACCATGATTCCAAAAGACGTTTAGTCCAATTAATGTGAGGGTTATGCTTTTTGGTGGGTAACACGGTGGAGTCTTTTTCCATCTATGGCGGACACACTGAGAGGCTGAGAGAGAGGAACGGTTTTAATCTGGAGTTGCTGGACGAGGTTAGAGTCGATTAGGTTACGCTCACAGCCTGAGTCGATGAAAGCGGAGAAAGAGAGACTTTGGTTATCACAGAAGAGTGTGGCAGGCAGCAACAAACGAGGAGATTTTATAGTGTTAATTTGGCCCGCCAGACTCCTCAGATCCTCTGGCGGGCCCCGGCTTTTGATTTTTCCGGACAGGTGGCGATGAAGTGTCCACTCTCGCCACAGTAGATACATAGCTTACTTAGGAAACGCCTCTGTCTCTCCTCTGGAGTGAGCCTAGTGTGTCCCACCTGCATAGGTTCGAAATCCCTTTCCCCAGAATGAGAGGCTTGAACGGGCAATGGTAGAGATTGGGACTTAGACTTCTGAGTGGGCATCTGCTCTGTAGAGGGAGAACACACAGTCACATTAAGAGAGGCAGGAGAGAAATTACTCAGCTTCTTAGAACTGTTTCTGGCTCGAATCCTATTATCAAGCCTAATGGAAAGGCGAATTAAATCCTCGAGGGAAGCTGGTTCGTCGAGAGTTGCTAGTTCATCCTTAATCTGTTCGTTTAATGCCATGAAGAAGGCTCCCTTCAAGGCGCTTTGGTTCCATCCGGAAGCTGCCGCCTTAACCCGGAAGTTTATCGAAAAATCTGCCACCGATGAATTTCCTTGTTTAAGGCTGAAAAGAGCTCTGGAATCAATAGTTTGGTCAGTTTCCTGGTTGAAAACCTGGGTAAATTCAGCAATGAAGTCAGAAAAACGGCAATTTAAACTGTCGTCAGTGGCAAATCTTGCCTGAGCCCATTCCAAGGCTCTTCCTGTTAACTGAGAAAGAATGAACGTTATCTTCTTGTGATCTGTGGAAAAGCTACCAGGTGAGTTCTGAAAAATCAACCGACACTGGAATAAAAATCCTTTGCAATCTTTCATGTTACCGGAGAATTTCTCTGGAAGACTAGGGCGGAACTCTGATGACGACACAGGTTGTGACCTCGGGGGAGGGACTGGACCCGGAAATGGTTGCTGAACAGATGCAGCATTAGCGCTATTCAGGAAGTTAGCACAACTCTGTAGCATTTGGTTATGAGTTCCAACGAGATGGTATAACTCACGGAGCGTTTGGGATTGTCCTTGTAGTTGAGCATCCTGTTCTTCCAAACGACGGGTGAGGTGATCTGCTGGGCCTTGAGTTTGGCCGCAGTGTTCTGTCATGATGGGTTCTCAAATGGAGACCCAGTAATGCAGAACACCACTTGACGGACACGAGGATGAAAGTTAAACACGTTTATTTAAGCACAACACACAGAATATACTGAAGACAGGTCCGGGCCTGGGTTCTGGTTTCACCGGAGTCTGCGTGAGAGACAGAGCGGTTAAGGTCTGCTGACAGGATTTGATTTCCAAGTGTGCTCTGATTGTACCTTGAGGGTTCTTGAGGTTCTCTTTGGGAGAGTCACTGTTGGTTCTGGAGAGGTGTTTATCAGCAGAGTCCGTTTGCTGCTTCAGCATCTCACATCTAGCTTGAACAGACCTTAGCCTTGGTTTCCCAGCTCTGGTCCAGAGCTGCTTGGAGGTTCACAGAGAATCTTCAGGGTTTGGCTCAGAGGGTCGGCTCGGCAGGTTAGCTCTTCCTGAGCTTTCACGGAGGAGACACGGGTTTCCTGGAAACACAGAGATAGAGGTTAGAATCCAACCTGGATTCAAAGTCATGGAGATACTCAAAGATCTAGGCTTTAGCGCTGACCAACTGGAACAACACTGCGGCGTTGAGGCAAGGTCTGAAGACAGCTTATATAGTGGATCCTCTGATGATCTAGATGAGCTGCAGCTGTGCAGGAGGCTCCCTCAGAGGATCCACGGCGGACTCTGCTGGAGAAAGATGGGATTTTCTCCAGCTCCCAACATCACTAAATCTGCTATTTCTATTAAGTTCAATTCAGAAGTCTTGAGTTGATATGCACTATCCTCTGTCTATTAGACATCATTTTTGACATTTATAGCAACTCATAATTAAAGACAATCAACTCGAATATGATTTTGCCATTTTTTTTCTCTGTTTTCACAGGCATCAGGCATAATACATCATAATACATCAGTGGTTCGCTATTTCCTGGTGTCTTGTAAATTTTAAAATTAGGCTGCATCTAAAAGCTGAGGAGAAGGATCATTGTTTTTATTTAGCATCAATATAATTGCATCAGTATTCGTTTTATTAATGTATTGATGTGGATCAGTATGGTGTTACATTGCAGAGTTCACAGAATCCTGTTTTTACTGTTTTGTGTTATTTACACAGACCATGATACACATGACTCAACAGATTTCAAACGCTTTTTTGAATAAAAAAGAAAATTTGCATGCCCCTTTTCAGGCCATTGTGTAGATTGTTAATTTTTTTGGCAAATATTTCAGCTTTTTGAAATGTATTGAGCCATGCTGTTCAATTTAAATTATTATTCAGTTAAGCTTTCTATGGAGTATTTTTAAATTTTTTTTTTCATCCATTTCCAGAAAACCCACAATCAAATGCCACTTTGCTGCAGGAGACGGAGGACGTCAAAGAAAGCATAGTTCAGTTAAATCTTAAGGTAAGTAATTTTTTATTTTTTTTTTCAATTAATGATCATAATAGCTTACAATAATAATTGGTGCTCTAAGTGGGTTGCTCAATCATCTAAAGACATGTTTTAAAGCCTCTACACTCCATTTAATTGGATTGATCACTATATTAGCTGACATTTATTTCAATAATCAATTAATCATGATTCATACAATTAATTGTTTCAACCCGTATGTATGTATGTATATATATATATATATATATATATATATATATATATATATTAGTGCTGTCAAAATTATCGCATTATTATCGCGTTAACGCAAGGCCATTTTAACGGCGATAATTTTTTTAACGTGAGATTAACGCTATGTGGTTTTATGGTACAATTTTCCAAGTACATCCCGCTGCAGCCTGCGGGAAGGCGGGGCTATTTTCCCCCAGTCTATGCATTTCTCATAGGCTTCGAGAGCGGAGCTCCTCAAGGAAAAAAGACGCTCATACACTGGGTAGCGCTAGTGCCTTTTCTTTAAGCCCCACCACCAACAAACAAGTTGAGTGTCTGGTAACTAGTAGCAACCTGAAATACGCTGAGAAAACAGATTACTGAGGTGAAATGGAATCTGCTACGGCACTCTTGCTGTCTGTGTATGCCGCAGGTCTGTATCGTGTGTGTGTGTGTGTGTGTGTGTGTGTGTGTGTGTGTGTGGGTGGGTGGGTGTGTCTGTGTGTGGGTGGGTGGGTTGGTGGGTGTGTGTGTGTTCTCATTTTTGTTAAGAGGCTGAAAAGTAACTTTCTAGAGCATAGACTACCTCCATCTAGTGATGTCGGTCTATTGATTTTGATGTATTGATTGAAAATTGTTCATTATTACCTTGGTTAATTGACATCTAATATTAACTGTACCACATTTTACAGCAGTAGGGTAAAATCCTTGTCTTTGTTCAAAAGACTGTATTAACTGTAAAGACTGTCTTTTACATCAGCCTGTTTTCAGGGCCTTTTTTTTTGGCTACATATTTGTTATTTTTTGCTACATGCCTCCCCATCTTCTTGCCATATGTTTCTATGGCATAAATCAGTGTCTGTGACCTGTTTTCATTTAAAAAAAAGAACATTGGCACAAACCTAGCCTGTATGTATTTTTTGTATGTCATCGAGAGTATTTAAATGATTTTCAATCATAAAAAAAATTTGCGATTAAAATGCGATTAATAACTCAGGCATTGATGCGATTAATCGCGATTAACAAAAATTAATCGATTGACAACACTAATTTATATATATATATATATATATATATATATATATATATATATATATATATATATATATATGTGTGTGTGTGTGTGTGTGAATGCTCTAGGGGTGCTTTATTCACATATTCATGCTTTATTTAAAGTCCGACACACTATATGGGTGAAGCTCATTGAGATTCAAATATAGGACCCTATAACATGCTGAAAAGGATAATTCAGCCAGTTCGTTCAGTTGTCTTAAGGCAAAAATGCATCTAAAAGCTACAAGCCAGTGGCTCTAAACGATAGAGGCTGGAAACCGCACTCATGTTTGGGTTGGGCTTTGGGCTTTGGTCATGGCATGGCGGCTCCAGGCCATTCCCAGTCAAACTTCACTTTCTCTCTCTGTTCTTCTACATCCCAAGCTAATGAGAAATATAAATAATTAGATCAATAATTATTTTATACTCTGGTTTACAAAAGTGATGAAATATCAGAAAATACTTTTCACAAAATTTTCTGGTTTAGTATCTCAGTCGCTGGTTTCTCAGACTGTTAGCTTTGGGGATATCTTTACCTCCCTTATGCACTCTGTGGCACCGAGACAAACAGGACCCTCATCGAGCCTTGTTTGTCACAGTTCCAGTTTACATTTAGTTTTCATATGTCTTTAAATCTAGGGCAAAAATAGAGGCCCTTTTCACATAGCAAACACCTGACTTTAAAGACCAAATTCTGCCCAACTGAAGTGGCTTGCTCTCTTCTATGTTACATTTTGAGGGTTGATTTAAAGAAAAGGGCCTTATATACTAGATGATATTTTTTCTATGGGAACCGTAAGGGGTATCAAAAGATTAACTATTTTTCAGTGATACTTCAACTGTAACTTTACCTTACAGTTACCAGTGGCACGAATAAGTGTGAAGGTGCTGTAGGCAATGTATGGTGTTGTATTACTGACACATGACATCCTTAGATAAAACTATGTCCCCCTATGCCTCAGTCAGGCTTTGCATGCACTTGTACTGTATATAGCGTTATATTAGTTGCAAAGTAAGCATCCAGATGGGCCCAGCAAGGTGCTGTCAGGAGTCAATATTAATTAATCAGCAGGGTACTTCTGCAATGCAGGAACATCAGGAATGCTGACTCAACAATACATAATAAAAAGATTATGCCGGTACATTTCTAATGTTGTTCACCTGACCCAAGCTTCTCTCTTTCATCAATCAACAATCATTTTGTCTTCTCTTATAAGGAGATCATCAGGTTATATTTAAATTTAAGGTACTAAGCTGACCTCAATCATACAAGCTGACTAATTCATCCCCGAGAAGACTTATAGAACTTATAATATTTAGGATTTCTGACGTAAATTTGGTTGAGACCTTTTTCATCCTGATAAGAAACACTATTTCACTTTGATTATCAAATTGAAGTTGATTGTCCCCTATGGTTCCAACTAAATCTTTGTTTAATCCTTTAAAAATTAATACTTTTCTCTGGTTTTGTGCCTATTTCAGTAAATTCTTATCAGTTTCCCATTTATCTTGTTTGGGTGGGGCTAGAAGTCTTATTCTGTGATTTAAAGTAAGACACTTCCAAGGTTGAGCTATTAAATTATGATGAAGCACAAAGGTTTAAATTCAATGGCATTAATTTTTCATTTCCCACATTGTCTACCGTATACTGTTTTTGAGATTGAGGTTGGTTTAGAACTGTAGAAATCCATTTTAACTTCAGCCCCTCTTTGGGTATTCAGCCTCCAGGACCAACTGGTCCATATTTTCCATGGATTTATCCTAAACTATTCCTTTATATATGTTTTGCTTTATCTACTCAGTGTTATTGTAAAAACAAAATTAAAAGTGGTAACTTACCTATGTACTCTACACAGGTGGGGACGTTAAACCACGAAGTATCAGAACTAACCAAGAGCCTTCACCACATGATGAATCTCCTCCAGGCTCACATGTCTCTGAATCACCACCAGAAAACCTCCTTCCTTTCAAGTCCTCAGCCTGTTCATACATTGTCCAGTCCTATATCCTCGGCCCACTGCATTTATACCAGTCCCCAAAGTCTCAAAACCTATGGACACCAAAGTGAACCAGCTGCTGTGCACTGGAGCTACAGCAAAACTCCTGCGTCCCATAAAGACAGCCGCCATTCTGCAATACCAATCACTAATGCTTGTCTGAGGCTATCAGAAAACTCATCGCCTAAGTTAGGACCATACCACAGCACGGAGAGCATGACTTCACCAGTATGGACCAGCCCATCTCTGTTTCATATCAATCCAAGCTACAGCGGTGGAAGTCCTAAGCTAGGATGTCATGCAAATCAGGATGAGCCCAGGCCTCTTGGTTCTGGTCCAAGTTCCATCAGTCAGTCGCATCCCACCTTATGTTTGCACACTTCCAGTGACAGTGATGAATTCTCCAGCCTTTTGTACACTGCTCCTGCAGGTACATCCACACACAGTTTGCTCGAGCCGTCATCTAAAACTTCTGGTGAGCTACTGGGTCACAATCCAGCCCAAGACTCCTCGATCTTCCAGATCCATGACTCGCAATCCTCTCTACCCTTTGAAGCTTCCTCAGCTACAGCTTTAGCCTGCCAGCCGTCCGTCTCCTCTCTAGATTCAGGATCACCACAGCTGGATGCTTCAGCGGCCTGTCTCACACTGAGCAACCCCTCTGCTTCAAAGCACACCAGTTTGGAGTGTCTGCTGGGCAACAGGGACTCTATGGAAAGTAGGGACAGCGAGAGCATTTCATCACGAAGGTCCAGCATTGGTGGTCAAACTCAGAGTACTGAGCAGTCATGGTGCCTGGACCTCACAGACTGAAACATAGTGCATTCTCACTTTATCACCATCCAACCTCATACAGTGTTTAAAATATCTGAGCTTCTTGTACCCATCGTAACTCTGGGGCTCCTGCATTTGTCACTTTCTATGCAACAGCATGTTTTGTGCTTATATTGACTTAATTAAAGTGTGTCCTTAAGAAAGGCTCTACCAGAGGAGCTCCAGTATATGTTGTACTTTTTCCAGCATCCTCAAAAATGTTGACACCTATAAAACCTATTACCTCTCTTGCATGGTAAAAGTTGTTTATTCTTTTTTCCTAAGGAAAAGTGTGTAAGCATCATACATTTCTATGTCTATTATTGAATGTGTACACAAATAGTGTATTTATACTGGAGACGAGTCTGAGCTGTTGGATATTTTTGAATAGAGAGGAAGTACAATGGCATGCCTCACTTTGCATGTATGAATATCTGCACTGCATAGCTTATCTGTGTTTTTTTTATTATTTAGTTTCTTTACAAATTCAGCATTTTCATTTGTAAACCACAACATTCCAGACTGTATTTCAAAACTCTAAAAAGCACTTCCTTTTGGATTCACTGCAAATATCTGGAAGGTTAAACATACTGAACTATATTGCCAGAAGTATTTGCTTACCCATCCAAATGATTGGAATCAGGTGTTCCAATCACTTCCATGGCCACAGGTGTATATAATCAAGCACTTAGGCATGCAGTCTAAGGTTACAACATTTTGTGAAAGAATGGGTCGCTCTCAGGAGCTCAGTCAATTCCAGCGTGAAACTCTAATGCCACCTGTGCAACAAATCAAGTCGTGAAATATTCCACTGTTAAATTTGAGCTGTATCATAAGAACATGGAACAGGTTTGGGACATTAATTGGCAGGCCACCTAAACTGATGGAGCGGGGTCCACAGATGCTGAAGCGAATAGTGAGAAGAGGCCACCAACTTTCTGCAGTTAATCACTACACACTTACAAACTTCACGTGGCCTTCAGATTAGCTCAAGAACAGTGTTCATAGAGCTTCATGGAATGGCTTTCCATGGTCGTGCAGCTGCATTTAAGCCATACATCAACAAGTGCAATGAACAGCGTTGCATGCAGTGGTATAAAGCACATCACCACTGGACTCCACAGCAGCTTCTCCATCTGGCAATCTGATGGACTAGTCGGGGTTTGGCAGTCGCCAGGAGAACTGGCTGCATTGTACCAAGTGTGAAGTTTGGTAGAGGGGGCATTGTGGTGTTGGGTAGGAACTCTGAAAGTTTTTAAATACCAAGACATTTTGGTCAATTCCATGCTTCCAACTTTGTTGTAAATAGTTTGGAGATGGCCCCTTCCTCTTCCAACATGGCTGTGCACTAATCAAGGGCCTTAAAAACAAAGATGGCAGAGTCTGGAGTGGATGAACTTCACAGACCCGCACAAAGTCCTGACCTCAACTTGATGGAATACCTTTGGAATGAAATAAGCAGAGAATGAGAGCCAGGCATTCTCATCCAGCATCTGTGTTTGACCTCATAAACATTCCTAAAGCTGGTGGACAGCCTTCCCAGAGGAGTTGAAGCTGTTCTAGTTGCAAAAGATCAGCAGACATCATATTGAACCCCTATAGACCACTTAAACTCACGTGAGTTAAGGCAGGTGAGTGAATACTTTTGGCAATATGAAGAATATATCCCAAAAGTCCTTACCATCAAATCAACTACAGTGTTAAAAATTTACTTTTTCTTCTGATTGACTTTAGTAAGCATCTGAAACACATGATGAATAGAAAATACATAAACACTTTAAACTAGAAAACATTTAAATCATATTCATTTACAAAACACAAATGCCTCAAAAGGAAATGTTTATATTCCTTACACATTATCAACAGTATTCAGAGATTTTATCTTTTTTTCAACTGTTTATCTTTGATTGTCAAAATAAAAATTTAGAACATATGCCAAGTGTCTCTACTGTTTGTGACATCTAACATTTATATTTACAGTTAGAAATACTTTATACCAGTAGGACAACACAGTCCTCTCTGTGGATATTTTGTATACCTGGAGCAAATGAATGAAGTAGCAGATTTCGGCTCTATTTAGGCTTTTTTATAAAACATTTGGAGTCCCGGGATCTACTCTATTCTGTTCAGCTGATTGTCTTGAATGAAGGTCTGTAAAATAAGACAATAAGGGCTGTTTTTTTTTTTTTTTCTTTTGTCATTAACATTCATAATTTATATATTATTTACATATTATGGGTCACTACTACCAGGGTTCCCGCACTTCTGTTAACATCAGACCCAAGCATTTTCCTGGACTAATTTCACCAATTTTTACCTCAAAACTTGTAATACAATGTATATTTTTATTTTTAAAAAATTGAATGACAATGTTTTTTTGGTTCAGAATTAAAGATAGCATACAGTAAATTACCATAGTCTGCATTCATATTCACAGTATATGAGTGATGGAAACATGTGGGTTACAAGCTCCTGCACAAATATATAAAAAAAAAGTTTATTTCTTGTAGTTCATTATCTTTATGTGCCCATTATTGCCGCCTAGGGATGAAACGTTAAATATTCAACAGGAAAAAATTGTGGACTGTATGGAGAATAAAAATGATCTAAAAGCATTAATAAATCAGTATTAATTTTGCCCGTGAAAAGTAGGCTCCATATTATAAAGATTGATTAAAAGTGTAAATTTAATAGTCAAGAGTGTTTTTGTTTGTTTTTTTGTCCCTTTTTGATAAGAACCTTGTTGTAATAAATCTGACCTAAAGAGCTCCTGAATAGGCAAAAAACGGTAAAGCGTCAGAAAAAGGACCCAAAATTCAGCCAGACACAACAGAAAAATTATGCATTCAAATAACTCAAGGGCGCAGATAGCGTGTACGTCAGGGGTGTTCTGACGTACACAGATTCGAATGACCCTCAATCCGTCCCCCCCAATTTTATAAAAAAAAAAAAAAAAAAAAAAAAAACATACGGCGAAACTCACAGAAAATCAAAAAGCTTTTTCTAATTTACTGCTTTGCAACAACAACATAAAACAGTCAGATCATAGACAGGCAATCGTTTTGTTTAACTGCAGGCTGCCTGCGTCGTAGAGATTCTAATCTAAAAGTTATCCTGTCTCTGGCGTTTACGTCTCGAACCTGGTTTCCATGGTTACTCAGACAGACAGTAGTGGCGGGACAGTTCCCAATTCCGGAGTCCGGACATCAACATGAGGCCAGCCAAACCGAAAAAACAGAAAACAATTGCATCCTTTTTTCGAAAAGCACCAACTGTAAGTAAACTGTTCATTGCGGTATCATATCACCTTGCATTTTTTTGGTTGTCTGTTCGATGTCGCCGTGGAAAAAAGAGTGGAGACGGTCAGTGAGAATAGCGTGAAGAGAGGTGCCAATGTCATAAGGCGGGAGGCATGGGGAATCGTCTGGCATTTATTTATTTATAATTAAATCGACTGTTCCGACTTTTTCTGGAGTTGTTGGGGGTCTTTCAGAAATGTGTAGGCTACAGTAGGCTACTTGAATCCGTATTTATGCCAAGCCAAATGGTTTAGGTTGTTACAGGTTGAATCGTGAGAAAAACGAACTTCAAAGCTAGACAAATTCCACTACACAGGGGCGGATTTAGGAAATTTGGGGCCCTAGGCAAAGACAGGCATGGGGCCTTCTGAATTGAGAAGACAACATATAGAACAGACCAATTATACAGATAAAGAAATTTTAATAGAATAGAAATTTGAGGATGTCATGTATCTTCAAGTTTGTCTATGTCACTGTAACTCGGAGGAAAGAATCTCTCTCTCATATATATGTGTGTGTGTGTGTGTATATAAATAAATGTGATGTTACAAATATGACAATTGCTTAAACTACAGAACAGTAAATTATTTAATCTATAATTAACATGGCCCTTAAAGGAGAATTCCGGTTTTTAACACTTTTAGCCCATTTTCTGTAGTGTCCAGGATGAAATCGAATGATCGACACCAAAAGTTTGACAATTGCTCCTGTCTCTGCTTTTTGGCTAATTTAGAATCCCCCCCTGGCTGCTTCAGAATGGCTTCCATAGAGCATGTCCGATAATGTCCTTAAAACAACCTTAAACGTTCTTTTTTTAAAATATGCTACTCACCGGGTCGTCAGCGCTGTTCAATGACGGTCCAAAAAAAGTTTCGTAAAGAAAAAACGTTCCTGTAGTGTTTTATTTAGCATTTTGTAAATCCCATTGAGTTCTGTTGGAATAGTCAATATTCCGCTGCCACCGGAAACGGAAATGGGGCCTGTTTACACAGTTGTAGTCTTTTCGCTTCACTCTGTGTACTCCGACGTCGAGAATCAAGAATCCAACTTTCTTATTCCTTTTTCAGAGTTTTTTTAAAGTGTTTAACAGACACGTTAGCACCTCGACATCCCCAGCTGTACACAATAACACACATTAAAGCAATGTTAATACAAAGCTGTAAAGTAGAGTGAGACGTTGATAATAACTTCCTTATGTTTTTTGAATGTATAAATTTAATTATAAAGGACTAAAACACCTAAAACTTCTGGGTGATTTTACAACATTTAAAAGCCTGAGATTTTACTGAAATTGGGGCTACTGGGGCTCACTGGCCTTAGATGTAATGAGCGAACTGGAAGTGCTGAATACATCGCTCCAAAAAAGCACCCAGACATTGGAGGGCATGGTCTCTGCAGTCTCAGTTGTCCAAGAGAGATTACGGGACAAAAGAAAGCCAGCCCACTTTGAGGCAGTCTTTAAGGAAGCAGTGGGTATGGCTGAGAAGCTGTCTCTAGAGCCCATTGCTCTATCTCGAACACATAGGCCCCCAAAGAGATATTCTGGGCCAGCACCTGCACACAGGCCAGAATCTGCTGTGGAGTACCACAGAGTGGAGTTCTACAGAGTCCTTGACAAAGTAGACACACAACTTTCTTCATTTGAGGCCATTTATTGAAAAGCCATGTAAAGTACTTATTTACAAATTTGTTTTTGTATATATGTAGGCTTTGCTGTTCGTGTTTCTGTGTGTTTACAGCCTGCACTTAAAGTCAGTCCATGTTTAAATAAAACCTTTTTTTTTTTCACACGTCATGTGGCATGTTTGGTGAGTACTTGGTACCAATACATGTTATTTTCTTGCAATGATGGGCAATTAAGATTGATGGGTTGTCATAGCTGAGTAATAGCCAGTAATAGGGCTTGGGATCCACGTTGCATTGTGGGACGTCGCAGCCATACTGACTGCTACGCAAACGTAAGCATAGCTCTGACACAACGTTGTTGTTGAAAGAAGAGACAGAAGTAGAGAGAAAAGAGATGTTAAAATCCCGAAAAGGATCTGGAATTTACCGGGACACATTAAATAGAGAAGCCAGGGACCGGTATGGTGACAAAATCAGCATTGTTAATCATTTGGATCCATATGAAGTTCCAAACAATGAGTGGAGCACCGATGAGTGAGCGCCTATACTTCAAAACAGTTCCGAAGCTACAAGTCCTTGGAGTCTCATGTGCAGTTCATGAATGGATGGGTTCAGGAGCTGCAGATCATAAAGCTAGCAAACAGTGGGAACACAGTAATCCGTACGAAGGTAAGCTGTGCTCAGACGGGCTCTGGAACCTGCTAGTTTAGTAGCTGCTAACCGCTAATGCTAACAACCACTCACGTATGTAATGTACTTTTAACTAGCTGCTATGTGTTTCAAAGATGTAGTTAGTAACGTTAACTGCCAACCCTCCGGGTTTCTCGCGTATTTGAGCCTTTTCCCGCTGCCGTTTTTATTATTTTCCCGTAAAAGATCCCAACTTTGAAGGAAAGAAACAATGTAGGCCATAAAATAAAACCGTGCATCTTTAACTTACCAGAATGAAAATGCAGGGAACACACTCTCATTGACATTGGAATACTGTGGAAAGTTATGTTCGGTCGCCTTACAGCCGCGATCCAAGCTAGCCGACGACTCTTTATCTCTGATGCTTGGTCTCCATGGTTACGCCTCCAGTCAGGAAAGCGGTGGAAAGTTAACCCATTTTCTATGTTTCCATGGCGATCATGTGTTGAGCTGTTACAGTCCACAATACAGCAACGGTTTACCATGGTTGAAATCAAGTTAAGGTGAAATTAATCAAATTAAAACACGGCTGAGAGGGAGTACAGTACGCGGTAGTCATAGGCAGTAGTCTGAGCCGCGGTAAAAGACGCATTCAACATGGCGGCGACGCGAAGTGCTTACGTCACGATGACCAAGCCCTATAGTAACTGTCCCCCACAGTTTCAAAAACCTATCTGCGCCCCTGAAATAACTGAGCAGATGCTGCAGGAAAGAATTTAGGGAGACAGGAATTTTGAAAAGGACATATCTTGTTAGTGTGAATTTATTCTGCATTTTAAAAGTTCATTCAGAGAAAAAGACACCAATTGCTCAGGATCCGTGATAAGGGGAAGGAAGATGTTGTAGATTCTCTGCAGATCTCAGAGCAGTGGTGACATCACTGCAGGCTTGGATGACTCCAAGAACAAGTCTAGTGAGGCTCAAATGAGACAGGTGAACAGAGTAATGTAGGTGCTTGTTCTTTGGCAGGGGACAGACAGGGCTCTTTGATCTCGGGACATAAAAAGTGTCACTGAATAGAGCCAAGGAGAGGGAAGGTGAGAATCTTGAACCTTTGCACAGAAACAGAACCATGGAGACAGAATCAGAGTTACAGATCATAGGACATAGGGGAAAAAAAGGGATTGCAATGGGCCTCCTGCTTTAAAAAGCAGGTTTGCTTAAAACTAGGGAAACTATGAGCTTTCTTTTTCATAAAGAGAGTCCTCAATTTCAGCATCTGTCTGCAACATGAGGGAGCAGGTTTACCTCAATAAACTCAGTGTTCTCTGTCCCCACCCTCCTTAGAGCCAATCACGTTGTTTTATTTCCTGATTTAGTCAGGAAATA